TTAGTCTAAGTACTCTATTTTTTTTTAAAGCTCAGTAAGATTACTATAAACCCAGGAAACACAATAAAGTATAACTGAATCCCTAGGGAGATATTATGGTAATATATATGGCCATCATTGTAGAGAAGTATTTATTTTTTTATCTTTCTTGTTGAGAGTATTACAGATGTCTTCCCTTTCTTCCTCCCTTGCCTCCCACCACCCTGTTCCAGCCCCACCCCAGGCCTTCACCACACTATTGTCTGTGTCCCTGGGTTATGCATATATGCATACAATTAGATTCCGAATATGAATGAGGTCATGTGGTATTTGTCTTNCTTCCGACCACCCTCCCCCTTTCCCTCTGAGATCCCTCAGTCTGTTCCATGTTTCCATGCTTCTTGTCCTATTTTATTCATCAGTTTATTGTATTCATTAGATTCCGAATATGAATGAGGTCATGTGGTATTTGTCTTTCTCTGACTGGCTTATTCCACTTAGCATAATCATCTCCAGGTCCCTACATGCTGTCTCAAATGGTAATAGATCCTTCTTTTTTAAGCTGCATAGTATTCCATTGTGTAAAGTATTTTTAATGTAAAAAATTATTGAACATTTTAAAAGACTTATTTTTTTAAATGTGTTTATCATTGTATTCAATTGCATTAATTTTATATGTCGACTTGACTAGGCCACAGGGTACCCAGATTAAACATTGTATCTGGGTGTGTCTGGATGGTGCTTGCAAATGAGAATGGCATTTGAATTGATTGGTGGTCTCAGTAGATGGCTTTCTCTAATGTGGGTGAATATCATTCAATCAGTTGAGGGCCTAATAGGAAAAAAAGGCAGAGGGATGTTTTGCTCTTTCTCTGCCTGACCACAAAGCTGGAACATCGGTCATCTCCTGCCCTCAGACTGGGATTTACACTATCAGCTCCCCTGATTCTCAGGTCTTCAGACTCTGATTTAACTCCACCACTTGCTTTCTTGGGTTTCCAGCTTACAGATCAAATCGTGGGACTTCTCAGCCTCCATCATGGAGTGAGCCAATTTCTCGAATCTTGTTTTATATATATATTTATATATACCTTTCCTATATACCTATTTCCTATTGGCTCTATTTCTCTGCAAAGTATTCACTCATACTTCAAGCATGGTTCATGTGCTATTTAAGGAGTTTGGAAGGTTCAACACTATCAGGCATACTAAATCTGTAATTGTTATTTAAACTGAGGCAGTTTAATTAAATTCACAATAAATGTTTAAATGCTCAAGGAAAAAACAAGGTGTTTCCTTCTCTCCTTCCTGAGTAATCTGAGTAATTCAGGCAAGGCCAGAGTGAACATGGTGGCTGAGAAAGTCAGATGGGTTACATATGAGATGACTGAAAAGATAAATACATGGAGGGGTGGCAGCCAGGCTTCCCTTGCTAGAAAAGGGAGCTACAAATACAGAAAGGAGGAAAGCTAGAATGTGCTATTGAGTTAGAATTGGGGATATTGCTGTTAACTAATGATTTTCAGTAACTAGAGATATAAAAATAAATATCAATGCAAATGTATGAATACATATTTACACTTAGACACATAAATATATTTCCTAACCTTGATGGGTCTGGGAGCAATGATATCCCAGTAGCAATCAGCATACTTTCCATAAATAACCAAGCACCCCCTTTACTGGCAAGGTAGTTGGCAACTATCATTTTGCTAGGAAATCTGGGAGCAATTGACAAGACATTCAAAACATCCCCAATTGATAATCAGAATGCATTTTCTCATGAGGAAAAAAAAAGTAGAAATTTTAATTATGAGGGTAGCTCATAAAGATTTTATTTACTCTAAGACCTCAGAAGGAAAACACTTCATTTCTCATTATACTAGCAAATGTAAGCCTGCTAGTAATATTCTAATACTTCATTTAGGTGTACTATAGCATTTCAAGCCTTACCTAACACATTAATTGCCCTGTCTTCTTTCAAATATATTACTATTACTATAAGAAACAAACATATAAAGAGGTCCAATGAAATGGACTGCCTCAAAACTGTCACCTTGTGAAAATGTCTAGTTATTCCAAGGATGCAGTTACTGTTCAAATAATTTTTGGAACCATCTTCTGTACTGGCCTTTAGAACTCATGGTATAATCTTAGAGGAAGCAAATCTTTACTTTCCTGAGAAGATCTGATGTTCAAAAAAGAGTCTGAAGATACTAGGAATTGGGTGATCAAGCTGACTAATCATTTGGGCTTAGAAAAGCAGAGATTGAAACCTCCAAACTAATTTACCAAGTAATATAATGAAATCATGTGTATAGCTTCCAAAAATAACTTCTTTGAGGATTACATTAATTTAGCTGCATAACAAAATAATTTTATGGTCACATTTCAGACATGCCAGTTATATTCGTTCCCTAAATGTATCTCTCACTGTCCTATCAAGCTACCTAAAATTCAGAATGCTTTGATCTGCAAAACTGACAGCTGCTGCTAAAATGCCATATATTCTATGCAAAGTGTAGCATAATACCTTAGTGTGAATCTGACATATTAAATTTTCAGTCTGGACTGACACAAGGCAAGAGGACATAACTGATTTGGGTGTAAGCCTGCCAAGCAGAACAGTCATGAAAGAGAGACCCTAGAATCACCTTCTGATGTTTGAACTGAACACAGCCTACCCCTCCTTCCCCTTCAGTTCCAGACATCTATTTTAAACACATCAGACAAACACAGCTGCATGGTCCAAGCATGTGGTGATTTTTATTAAGAATAACTTTGGTTCTAAGAATTCCACCCTCAATTCTGCAATACTTTCCGTTAAAAACAATTATACAAGAGCAAATACAAAAAATATTAAATTATGAAAACAAATCCATTAAGGCTCCCTTTATATATATTATATACACTCAAACAAGTCAAGATTTTTCAGAGTAGAAGAATAAAGTCAACTGTTATAGCTTAGAAAGCAACACTACTTTACTACTAGGAGACTATAAAACACTGAACTAGTTTAAGAAAATCACAGAGTGGAAAAATGGAGCCATTTTTGTCAAAAAGTGGCTCGAAGCACAAAACTGCTCGATGTTCACGAGTCCTAGGGGTTTGGACTATACAGAATTAACGCGTGGGGGGAGACTGATGCCTTTTTAAATGCAGGCCTGTGAGCTAAGCTGACCTGGTGTCTTCAAAGAGCTTCTCTGTGTGGACCTTCACTGTTTAGTCGTAAGACATCACTGTTGCTATTTACAAATCTTCTTTTGGCCAGACCTCGTCCTACTAACTACAGATAATTCTGCAAATTTGTGAGTGAGACTGGGAAGGAAACACTTTGTAATTTATTTTTTCCCAGTGAAGAATGAATTTTAGGTAAGTTCTAGGAACAGAATTGGTCCTTCTGAAGGAGCCTGTTAGGGCCCTTGGGAACTTTATCAAGTGGCAGAATTGCTTCAAGGGCACAGGATCTAAAGATCTGACATGCAGTTAAAGGCTATATATGGGCCAGTCCTAAATCCTCATTTTACAAATCATATCATTAGTCCACATGCACAAAGAAAGAACTCCAGTCAGTGTGCAATCAGAAATGTACTTTCAAAATGATCAGTTAATGTACTTTCTTCTCTCAAAAGGAAAAGTGATGGAAAAAAACAGTTACCATTCCATCTTTCAAAAGCAAACTGTTATAGAGCAATATCTTATCTTAAGCACCTCCTATTTTATTCAAATAATACTCACTGATGAGAGAAACCCATTCCAGGTATAATCCGCATATTCTTGAACTAGCAGTGTATGATCACTGCAGTTACTTCTATCTTGTTCACATTAGGACTGAATATGAGCCTAATCGTAGACTATGAGAACTAAAGCAATCCTGCAGAGAGCCAATTTCCTACGCTTATTAAGAATTCAGATGCTCGGAACCCAGCTTTTTATAATCCTTTAGAGGAATTCTAAGAAGAGTCTTCAGTGTACAAATTAGTGGCTGAATCGTCTCTATGGAGAACATACTGAATCCACACAAATTCTCCCGGACCACCCCAAGTCGAATGTACCATACCAGCAGTATAAAATAATTCCGCCTAAGGACTCTGCTGTTATTGGTAACTGGGGCCTCGCTTTGAGCAGCTTCTCCCTTTCCCTTGGCTTTTCCTGAGATGCAGTACAGTAGTCATTAAGGTCATCGTGTTCAACAGCATCATCACAACTAAGAGAGTGGGGAAACAGTCTTTCTTCTCAAGGAAAAAAGCACACAAAGAAATGGGTAACATTCAACATGTACAATTGCTATGAACCTTCCAACCAGGCCTCTTGAAACCAATCTACATTTGCTTCCCATTAAAATACTCAAAGAACTCCTCTCTAGGCTCCCAATGGGAGCATTCCCCACACTGCTCTCAGAAGGAATCCAAAGATCTGGACCCTCTACTTCTGACACTGAAGTTGGGTTGTGTGGACTAGCTTTATTCTCCAAAGGGTGGGGAGATTATTTCCTACAAAAGGGCTAGTTCTGCAAGAAATTTAAAAAAAAAAACCCTAACAGTTATCAAAGCAATAAATGGATTTATAGAATGTGCCTTCTCTGAACTGGAATGTTACCATGGAGCATAACCAAAAGGAATTAAAATAAGATCAAAATGGTGTTAACATATTTTTGTTTACATGTGTCTGTTTACATATTTTTAAACCTTCTCGCCTTACTGTTGTCAATAAAGGTGTTAGCTGTGCTCATTAACATCAGCATTCTCAGGTGTGAATCCTAACATGGGTGAAAGTAAAAATTAAACAAGAAAATTTTGGGTTCTCAAAATAGAATTGATGAATAGTGACTGTAACAGATCAAATGCATTTCTATGTGATCTAAATGGTCTAACAGATAACGACAGGAAAAATGAAACACATTTTCTTTAGGTTTTAAAAGGAAAAAGGTTCTTGCCCCACTAAACTTGGCTGGGGAGGAAAACCAAGTAGTGCAATTCTCAAGAATTTACTCCAGTGTCCTCTTCCTTTTGTTGTTGTTTTTAACGTCTCTGATCACAGGTCCATATCCCAGCTTAGGTGCTGGTCAACGTCCTTCGTTTGGCGAATAGGAACTGCAACTGTCACAGGTAATTTACCCACCCAGACCGTAGGTGAACCAAGACCAAATCCTTTTTAAGCAACAATTCTCTGCTGGCTGGATGCTCCCCAGGGGCTTCTGCCCTGAGATTAAGCGTTGAGGAGGAGCCTGCTCACAGCTTCAGCGAGAACTCTGAGGCGTGGGCCTATGACTCCTGGGCTTGGGCCACTTCTTGGCCTGTTCTCCTAAGATTGCCTTTAACCTTCACAAACTCTGGGGCGTTTTCTTGCTCTTCTTGCAGTTTCTGCTTCTCAAGTTCAAGCTAAATAAAATTCAGAAACAGGAAAATTATTTACAAACTGAGAGGCTTTTCAAAATACTCCTCTTTCCAAAGTCCCCAATGACTTTGTTTCCCAATGGGAGAAATTCTCTCCTGGTCTCCAGTTAAAAAAAAATTAATTTAAAAAAAATTGTGGGTATGTGTGTCCTGGGGTAATTCCACACAGGAGCAGCAGCTGATGGGTTGTTACTACAAGCAATGCCGAGAGATGACGGGAATCTAAAAATCAAGGTCAAGGCAAGATCCTGTGATCAACACAGCTGCCCTGTACTCTCAGTGAAGTTAGCTTTCACTCAAGTGTTTGCGCTCCCAACACTGCTGTGAATTCAGTGATTGCCCCTGGTTTTGGCTTTGCCTTCTGAATCTCTCCTAGGTCCTCAACAGAATTCTGGACTTTACCTTTAAAGTATTTTATCTCACTTGCTCACATTTTACTTCATATTTTCCCCTTTCATGGTATAAGCATTTACATCTGACATGTCTGGTAAATTCTGCTTGTTCCAACATTCTTAGTTTTCAGGACAAAAAAGATAACTTGTGAGAAAAGTCAGAGAAAAACAAATACTGTATCATATCTCTTATATATGGAATCTTAAAATAAAAAAATTGTAAAGCAGAGAGTGGAATGGTAGTCACCAGGGGCTGGGGGTAGGGGTATAAGAGATGTTTAAGGGTACAGACTTGCAACTAGTAGATAAATAAGTCCTGGAGGCCTAATGCACAGTACAGTGATTATAGTCAATAAAACTGTACCTTAAACTTGCTGAGAAATGATCTTAATTGTTCCCAGCCATAGAAGAAATAATTATGTGATGCAACAGAGGAATCAGCTAAGGCTACAACGGCAATCACATTGCAACATAAATGTACCAAATCAATATGCTGAATACCTTAAACTTACACAATGTTGTATATGTCAAATATGGCTCAATAAAAAAAGACCACTTTCATCCCAGCCACCCGTACCTGCTCCAACTTCTGCTGCCGTTTTAAAAGTTCTATTTCCAAGTCAGATTTCTTCTTTTGTGCTTCTTCTTCCTTCTGCTTTATTACTTGATCTCGTTTTCTTTTTTCCATCACCTTCTGCAGCTCTGGCTTATTCTGAGGGGCCAAACCCCTGCAAGAAAATCATTAACAAAATTAAAAAGTTGTAATATAATGGACAGATCTTTTATGAATAGAAATTTAGGGCATCAGCCACAGGAAAGGGGTCTAGTGAATTAGCATGACTGTGTACCAGTGGTGGTCTCAGAAATTCACGAGCAAGAAAGAAAGGGCAAGAGCGCCTTCCTAAAATAAGCAAAATCCATTTACTGAATAAAAATGTACGGAGTGCCAAACACTAGGCTATACAAAGGAAGTTAGTGGGGGTGGGATGGGCTGGGGAAGGTGGGGAACAGCATGCTCATTCCATGGGTATGACGACCACGCAAGATGGACATGGACACGAAGATGAGATGGCTTCACCAGAAATTTAAACAGCAAAATGGCCAAAGTTTCAGATTTGTAGGAGGGTTCTTGCATGTGTAAAGGCACATCCAAGGTTTCATCATTACTGGCCACATAGAACTCTGACCCTCTCGAAAAGCATGAGTGATCCCTGCAGCTGAACCATTTCAGATGTGTGGCTGACTACTGACAATGCACGAAGTCAGGCTCCAGGGAAGTCCTACATTTCTGAGGAGTAAGTTAGGCTACCACCTCTTCAAATGGGAGAAACAAAGCCAAAACTTAGACATAGCAATCCTCCATCGAAGAAGTCTGTGGCAAGTCAAGGGAAGACCACTTCCTAGCATTCCAGCAAGTCTCTACTAGCTCTTAAGTAATCTCCACTTGATATTAATATTTACAAAGAGCATTTAAAATGACAATGAAAAAATCACTGAACAAGAAAAGTACCGTCAATCTCAGGCAGCAAAGGGTGTAAGCGATGGTTAGCAAATTCACACTCAGGCATCCACACACACGTACAAGACCAAACAGTAACTCATGCTTTTCTGCTGCTGAATCACCCTTGGACTGAGATGGGCCTGCACACCTTCCCACCACTCTCAGGTCTTGCTGATGAAAACTGCTAGTCTGGACATCAGGAATGTCTACCTCGATGGCTGTTCTCCAAACTATGTGAATCAAGAAATGGGACTAATCAACTGATCATCTCAATAACTGTTAAATCAAATAATTTCCAAAATGTGTGCTCTGGTTATAAGAATCTCAGCCACAATCCTGTCTCAATATCTTTCGAGTTCACACTGTCACATCTATAAATTAATCCTCAATATCATACTTCCTCATTTATCTAGTTATAATCTTAAAATTCTGGCATCTCTCCAAGTTACTTATTTTTTTTAAATCGCAATAAAATTTTCAGTTCTTTACAGAATAAAGATCAGTATATTCTGTCATTAAAGATAAAGGACACATGGTCAAAATAACGTGTTTCCTCTTTCCCCATTTTCATTAGCAAAACTTTTGGTAAAAAATATATATATATTAAATTCAACCAAATTTCCAATAAAACAAGAGCGACAGGCTACTTCTGTGATTTAATTATGGTTTCACAGTTACTAAGATTGTATGAGGGGGACAGAGGTATAGACAGGCTATTCTGGAAATGAAACTTTTAATCAGCACAATAAAAGTTGCTGATGGTATTTTGTTCAAAATAAACCTAAGTGTCATTAAACACACAGGAAAATTTGTTTGTAAATAATCTGAGTAAAGACCCATTCAGTTTCATGACTATTAAAAAGCCTCTATGACACTACAGACAGATTTAAGGGATTTAAATTTTAGGATTAAGGATTAGCTCTCTGCATAATTTAAATTTCAAACATTTTTCTTTCCCTATACTTCAAAGGCAAAATTAACCTCAACTGTTATTAAATCCTTCTGGATTATGCAAAAGCTAATGAACAACTTTGATGTATGACACACTAAGCTGATATTCTAGTGCAACATATGAATGGGTTTAATTAATATTCAGTATTCATTTTCCATTCGAAGATTTTACACAATGGGGGCAGTAAGATAAAATATTTAGTAACAGAAAGCTCGGGAAATGGTGCTCATATGATAAATGTTCTATACTTGGAACAGTCGAGAAGTCATACAAATTTAGTTAATATTTTATCATAGCCTATCACTTAATCTGTGCTGAAAGGAAGATGTCAAGCAAGCAGTGCCTGTATGATTCTCTGAGTCTAAAACTGGGTCAGACTAAAGAGAAATGAGCTTCTCCAAATTTCATAAAAACTACAGTATCATTCTGTGCATGACAACAGTTGGTTATCTTTAATCAATTCTGACATACAATTAACAAGTACTTTTAATCCCTTTACGACTGATCAGTACTAAAGTCCTGGTGTCTTTGTACCACTCAAGGCCAACAGTAATCCTGAGTCTGCTTGCTGTGACTATTATAGTGGGCCAAGCCAATTTTTTAAGTTAATAAATGCTCCTTGCATAACAGGTGATTTATATGTAAAATAAAAAGTGAAAGCACACCTGAACTCTCTTTGCTAAACAGATCTTGGGAGCACCATTTACGCTGAGTTCTATGTAAATGGTGGCCCTGAAAACTGAACAAGGTAGAGGCCCTGCCCCATGGACCCAGAGACAACAGTGTAGTCTGTAGTCTAGGCTCCCCCATCTATACTTTTACAAAGCTCTTTTTCATTCTTATCATCTGCACAAGACTTCACACTATGAAAGTGCCATGTTCACCATTCCCACATTGCTATGCATTTAGGCTGTTTACAATCGTTCCCTATTAAAAGTAATGAAGCAATGGCCTACCTCGTACATTCATATTTGCACTCTTACATAAGTATCTCGCCTGGCTACAGTCATAGAAGTAGAACTGCTGGCTAAGCATCTGTACATTTTATAATTTTATGTATATTGCCAAACTGCCTTCCAAAAAGGCCGCAACACTTTATATTTTCACCACTAGTGACGAAATATACAGATAATTTTTAAAGGTACATTTCACATAAACCACTGAATACATCCACTCCACCCCCACTCTAGATATACCTGAACATCTGTGAATGAAACTGCCTCCTCACCTGGGAGGCCTGTGCCAGAGGCAAGGGCTGGCACAGACCCTAACAGAGCATGCCCACACAGCCTAATCTCCTGGGCTAATATTTTTCTTAGGGGGAGGGGAAAGGGGAGGGTTCGTTTGGATTTCAAACCCTTGATCTTTAATCTTGGAATTTTCTGGTCTGGCCTGCCTTGTGCTTAAACCATTTCTACCTGCATGAACTCAAATGCAAATACTTCTATCTCAATTTCCCGTATTTTTCCATGTGTACAGCAATGAGCATGTATTGAGGAAATATTTGTCCAGCAAAGAATGCAAATGAAGATACGAAGATCAACGAAAAACACAGGGAATAAAGACCACTGACTGAAATGTACAAGCCAAAGAACCAATTTTGGGGATGCATTTGAACAGTCGAGTATTCTGTATTTGTCCTCCCCCCACAAAGTACTCTTATAGAGAAGACAGAACCTAAATTATATTAGAAATATGTTTAAGACCTCTTAAACACTAATCTTTCAACTTGAAAAAAAACAACTTGCCTCTTGAAATCTGCCCCTCTTATGTTATTGGGAATACTTATCGAATCTGAGAACTTGAAAATGTTCTTAATGAGCCCTTGTGGCAAACTGTGAGCAAGTTGATAATGTAAAGACTTTTAACCTGGAACTTGGCTAGTCCAAAAGATACCAAGTAGAGGAGCAGAATGATATTCTTAAAAGAGCTTAGAATTCAGAGTTAGAATGTCTATGAGTAGAGTATTTGTTCTCCTAAGTAGTGACTTTGCTTTTATCTATGATCTCTAAAAAGTAACTAAAAAAATCTTTGAACTAAATGCTACAGGGCTTTGAGCCAAATTTTTGGCTATGGAGGGCAAAGGTCCAGGGCTCCACAGGAAGCTTGTTTTGTGTTGATCTCATTTCTGTCTCTCATTTCCCTACCCCTTTTCTAATTTTTATTATTACTATATTTGATTGATCTTTGCCTTTTAATTTAAACTGCTTTTAATTCTATGTGTATTTCTACCTTTTTATTCCAAAAAAACCTACTGTAAAATCTTGAGAAGATTTCTTAGCCTGTTCCTCTGAGTTTTCTCTTATTAACATGTCAAATTAGGGTAACCCCAAGATAACACACGTTAGATCACTGGAAAGATCACTGGATTGGACAAGATAAAAAATGGGAAGGCCCTTTATAAATTATAGAAAGTAAGTAGACTTTCATTATGGTACAAACCAGTAAGCAAGTATGATTACCCTTTAACCAAACATATATATATATATATATATATATGTATATATATATATATATATATAAAATTTTAAATGTATCTTTATTGATTTCAGAGAGAGGAAAAGAGAGAGACAGACAGAGATAGAAACATCAATGATGAGAGAGTCATTGATCGAGCCCGCAACCCAGGCATGTGCCCTGAGCGGGAATCGAACCTTGATCATCTGGATCCCAGGTCGATGCTCAACCACTGAGCCACGCCCGGCCGGGCCCAAACATATATATTATTGATGTGATACTTCCTATTTGGACTTTTAACACCCCAGTGACTTTACTGGACAGATTTTCCAGACAAAAAATCAATAAAGAAACAGTGACTCTATATGACACACTAGATCAGATGGATTTAATTGACATTTACAGAACATTTCACCCCAAAGCTGTGGAATATGCATTCTCCTCAAGTGCACATGAGACATTCTCAAAGACAGACCACATGTTAAGACACAAAACAAGTCTCTACAAGTTCAAGAAGACTGAAATCGTATCGAGCACCTTCTCGGACATTTACACCATAGAATGCTATGCAACTGTAAAAAAAAAAAAAAAGGATCCCTTACCCTTTGAGACAGCATGTGCGACCTGGAGAATATTATGCTAAGTGAAGTAAGCCAGTCAGAGGAAGACAAGTGTCACATGATCTCACTCATATGTGGAATCTAATGAACAAATAAACTAATGAACAAAATAGATCCAGAGACACAGAAACACGGAACAGACTGAAAAATCTCAGAGGGAAGACAGGGGTGTGTGAGTGGGGAGAGATTCCCCTAAGAACTTATATGCATATATGCATAACCAATGCACACAGACAATAGTGTGGTGAAGGCCTGGGGGGAGCACTGCAGGGGGAGGGGATCAATGTGGGGGAAAAAAGGACATTTGTAATACTTTCAACAATAAAGACAAATTTTTTTAAAAAATTAGAAATAAAAACTCCACAGCCTCCAAAATGTATATGTGATAGAAGATGAATAAAACAAACTGCTTGAGGAGTTTTCACTCTAAAAGCCTCTTGTAATTCTATTAAGAGGACCCTACCAAACTAAGATTTACCTTGAGAAACCTGAAGACATAGGATAAGATACATTCATTTAATTTTGAAACCTGCCTCCCTCCCTCCCTTTCTTTCCTTCCTTCCTTTTCTTCCTTTTCTTAAATGTACTTCTATAGCCAGACCAGAACTTTTCAAAGAAGAAGGGGGAAAAGCAATAGGAATTTCCAGATGACACTAAACAGAAAGTGAAAGATGGTTGAGACTAATTGGACACTTACTATATGTCATACATTTTATTTTTTTTTTTTTTTAATTTTTTCATTGATTTTTTGAGAGGGATAAAGGGAGAGGGTTAGAGAGATAGAAACATCAACGAGAAAGAAACATCACTGACTGGCTGCCTCCTGCATGTCCCTACTGGGGATGGAGCCCGCAACCTGGGCATGTGCTCTGACCAGGAATCGAACCAGTGACCTACCTCTTGATTCTTGGGTTAATTCTGAACCACTCAGCCACACCGGCTGGGCATGCCATGCATTTTAAAAGGTATTTATACATGCTATTATTTACTTTCATTTTTATAAGAAAGATATTTTTATCTCCTATTTTATTTATAAAGAAACAAATCTCAAGAAGGGAAATCTTGTCTAAGATCGTAAAGTCATTTCCTTCTGACTGCAAATCCCACATCCTCTCTGGCCTATGGTACTTGAGGTAACACCAGCATTCTCTTAAATTAGTTGAGCTGGGCCTGGCTAAAGAGTCACCTGTGCAAACCAAGAAAAGAAAGCATAACCCAGACAAAGTCAGATGGAAGAGTGCTCACAAAAAGTGCCTATTCTAAAAATTTTGGAAACAGATTCAATTGCACAAACCTGTATATTTTACAGAAATATTACCGAGGTTACTAAATAAATTTTTGCAGAATAATTTGTAGCCTATAATTCAGAAAATAGTTATTCTATCAATTTTAGTTTTACCTTGCCTACTCCATTCAAGTCCCCTACTCCACTTTACAGATAAGGGAACTGAGATCCAAGAGGTAAAGGCAACCAGAAAACCACTTAGTTTAGAAAAAAACATTTAGCTACTCTTTTTTGGAGTATATTGAATTTTGTATCTTTCCCCCAAAATGCAGACTTTCCCAGGCAGGATTATCTCTCAATTCAGTGGCCTATTTAGGAAACTATGGAGTCCTATTTTGCTTTGGGCATGATGATAATTAATCCTTGCTTTTACTTTTACATGACAAACACCAGTAGAAGCTAAGCACTATTCAGAAAGGATCATACTTGCATTCAATTTCTAAGCATTAGCCCAGCAGCAAACTAGTGAGCACTGGGGTTCAAAGGGAGTGAGTCATATTCCCACAATCTAGATGGAGGACAGGAGTTCTCACAGAGGTACAGTCGGGAAGAACTGCTATAAAAAAATGCCCCTTTGTTTCCTTTAAAATACTTTTTTAAAAATTTTAAATTAGGCCTTCCCTCTAAAACATGACCCTAATGCTTAACTTGGTCTGTGTATCTTTCAGTCCAATGGGTAGTACCAGGGCTAAGCAATGAGTGAGTGGATGAGTGATCTGTATAGTCTCACAGTTCAGATCAACTGTTTCATTCTGAAGATCTGAAAATAGTTCCAAATGAAACTTAAGAAAAATCACTTGGTCTGGTGCTACCAAGGCAACCACAGGCACAACCCAAAATTCAATAAATCTAGGAGCTTTTTTCATAGCTAATTTTTAAGCTGAGAATTTTGTATGGCCCTCGAGTGATGTTATAAATATCCAAATGGCCCTTGGCAGAAAAAGGTTCCCCAGCCCTGGTCTAGAGATTTCAACCTGCTACTTACAAATGCTAAAGTAGGCAACATTATATTTGACTTCCACATATTTGCATATGTAAGGGGCAAACACAAAATTTTTACAAATCTAAGAAATAGATTTGTAGAATATTCCTCTTTGGCTTAGGACACTCCTTTTATCCTTAGTCCAGACCCTTCCATCCAAATTTTAAAATCTGCATCCATTTGAGAAGCGGACACAGAACTGCAGACTTCTGAATAACACTGGTAGTAGTAGCTGTGCCTGCTGCTGGCTTCACTTTACGGAGCAACATCTTGGCTCAAGGATGCTAGAGTAATTAGGAAGCCTCAAATATAGTTAAGAAGCAAAAAATTCTTTGAAGCCTTTGTAAACATAATCAAAATTAAATCTAGTTACCTTGAAAGTCCCCCGAGAGAAACTGCTCAAGAAATCATCTTACCTTTTCTGATTCATAAGAAGCTCTCTGTGAAGATCTTGATGGTTGCGTGACGTTTTGACGGGGTTGACAAGTTTCTGAGGCCTAATTAGTTCAGGATTGTCATCTTCTATATAGTCTGGCTCGGCCATGATGTTTCTTGGAATGAGATATGGGTCCTTAAGGTCAGGATCTTCAAATGGGTTGTCTGAAATAGAAAGACGAGACTCACTGTGGTCTTTTCTGAGAAGACATCTCGCACAAATGCGGGGGCCCAGCGCAGCTGTGCAAGGCACACGTGCGGAACACCTCATCCTCCTTGGTCCACTCTACTGCTTCATTCAGAAGTTCCCTGAAGTGCTGTAAACGTAACTGGGGGAGTAAAGGACAAGGAAGAGTGTCCGTAGTGTTCTGTGCTGCCTATGACTAAAGCAAATAATCCCCTAACCTGGCTCTGGTCACACCGTGAATTTCAGGTCCCATACGATGCTTCCGACCACCAGGTCTAAAGACCAACTCAACCCCACATGTAGTGGGTGCCTTGTGAATATATGTTACATTTAATGAGAGAGAAGAAAATAAATACTCATTGGAAGCCAGAGCTGGGAGGAAGAAGGCAGGCGGAGCATCAGGCAAGGCAAGTCCATCTGGCAGGTGTCCTATTGCCAGAGACTCTGAGGTTCACCTCCTGGTTCTGGCCCCATCCCTGCTCCCTTGTCCCCAAAGAAAATCTGGCAAGTATTTCAAGATAATAAACACTCCACTTGATGCTCCCTGTCCCTGTATGATGACTTTATTTTCCAAACCAAAAATCAGATAGATGCAGGAATTATGGAGACTACTTGACACAGGGCCCTCCCTAGAAAAGTCCAGAGGACATGCTGACTAATTCTGTCCCTAAATGAAATGGTGGTCCTCCTGTGAACACTCACACCCAAGACTGCCACCTCCCCCACCTCTCCAGGGAAGTCAGCTGTGCAGATGTACTTCTGTCACGAAAGGCATTCTGACAAAGGTAACCACAGGTTTCTGTCTATTCTCTGCAAGAGCTAGAGCCACTTCTCTCCCAGTTTTGAATCCCAAGGTCCAACAAAGTGCCTGGTACATGGCAGAAGCTGAATAAATGTTGAACTAAATCAAATCTGTACTGAACAGAAAAAGTGGTATGAACATACTCCTAGACAGAAGCAGGGCTCCATCTTTATTTCAGCCATGAAATCAAACATCTGAGGAAAGTGTGTGTTTACACACGGGGCAGGGGTGAAGGGAGGAGAGAACACAGGGGTGTGCTTCCATGGACTCTGCCATGGTAAGGAGGGCACTAGAAATGAACAAAGATGTGTACCAAAAAACCAACAAGAAAAAACAGGTCTAGTGGCTGTCAGCTACAAGCAGGGGTTTTAGTTTCAAAGTCATCGATGATAAAGTTTTCCTGAATTCCTGAACTGGCCCAAGACACTGCCATACTCTAACGCGTCCAGTAAGAAACGCCATTCGAAGTGGCAGCCAGCAAGACCGGTGCTTCAGATACAGTGCACGACCATCTCTGATCCTAGCAGGAATCCTAAGAATACAGTTAGAACCTTCACTTTACAGACAACAAAAACCAATTAACTCGTCTATGCTAATATTGGCAGTAGTGTAAAGCTTGAATCAAAATGAATAGAAATGAATGTTCTCTGATTCCAAAATCTATGTTCTGTCTACCAAATTATGAAGCTTAATATTTTTGTAGAAAAATATTGTGACAAGAGAGGATAAACACCAAAGAATAATCAAATAAAAATAGAAAAATTGTAGATGTGTCATTTATAGATTTTAGGTACAACTACATAATCAAGGCTCAAAATTACCAAATGATCATACACATATATAAAAAATTACACCAAAGATTCCTTAAACACTACCTGCATTGATCTTTTAAACAAGAATGCCTCTGACCTTCACAAATGGAGAATTACAAACCTTGCAGATGCTGAGTCAGCGATCCCATCACAGCCAGCCAGACTTTGATATGCTGGCCCTCAGAAAAATGTGGTCCTGAAAATGAAGTGCACCATACAGCCCTCCGTGCAGTCCCAATTGTCTTTAAAAGCTAACAGCAGTTTCATTCTAGTTAATCTTTAAACAAGAAGGCCTATATGCTTCCATAAAAGGATCTGTCTCTCTGCCAGAAACCATGGATAATCTCCATGACATCAAATCAAAGCAGATCACTGCCTCCTAAAGTCGCTTTACAGTGGGGGAGGGGAGGCCCTATGGACTTGTGGGAAAGAGCATTCCAGACAGAGAGACAGCTCGTGCAGGAGTGCACCTGAGCGGGATAGGAATAGCAAAGAAGCCAGGTTATAAGGACTGGCTCTGGCCTCCACTCTGAGGAGCAGTGGGGAGCCAGCCATTCAAGGTTTTGAGAAGAGAAATGGCAAGATCTGACTCATGTTTTTAAAAGATCTCTCTAGCTACTGAGTTTAGAAAGACTGAAGCAGGCCAGGAAGGAATCAGGGAGGCAGCTGTTATAGTAAAGCAGGTGAGAGGCAGTTTAGACGAAGACGACTGCAGTGCAGGTTAGAGGACAGACCAATCACGATGTGTTTTGAAGGTAAAGCTTCGGGGGTTTCCTACAGGACTGGAGATGAGGTGTGACAGACATGGAGGAATCTGGCCTGAGTAACTAGAAGGTTAGTGTTGTCGAGGTGGGCAGGGTGTGAGCAGAGCAGACAGAAGATGAGATCAGGAATTCCACTTGGGACATACTGAGTTTGAGGCATCTGAGAGCAAGAAGGCAAAGGCAGCTAGTACGCAAGCCATGAGCAGCTCTTCCCTTTGTCTTACTGATTTGACCTCTGTGGTCCCTCACTTCACCTGTATCCCTTCTCTGCCCTTCCATTCCCACTATTCCCACAAGTAGAGGTAGCTCAAGATCCCCACTCCCAGTCTTTCCCAAAGGTCAGTGCCAGGGTACAGACATGTCTTGGAGACAAGAGGTGGGTTGAGCTTTCAGTGTGCAGAATGAAAAGGCTTCTGCCCTGCCAGTGTGGCTCAGTTGATTGGGAGCCATCAACTGGCACCAAAAGGTCACCAGTTTGATTCCTGGTCAGGCCACATGCCCAGGTTGCCGCTCAATCCCCAGCAGGGAGTGTGAAGGAGGCAGCTAATTGATGTTTCAATCTCACATCGATGTTTCTCTCCCTCCCTCTCCTATGCCCCCATCTCCGAAAAACAATAAAAATATAAAAATGGGGGGGAGGGCCTTCAGTTCTCAGTCTCGTTAACAAGTTCTAGCCTGGGTCAATTTTTTCTGATCTCTCTTTAGATTTAGTGTCTGGTAAGTCCTTCTCCCACAGGACCAGTGTCGTAAAGCAGGCCTCAGCCCATCTCTTACTGGAGAGAGCAGGTGGGTGGGGGGCTGGAGCAGTTCTGCTGTAAAGGAAAATGCAAACATTTTCCTTGCTTCACAACTGGAGTTGGGAAAGGGGACATGGAAGCCCCTGGGTCTGAGTCAAGCGTGTACACTTCAAGCCTGCCTGTGGACTAGGCTGAAGCCCTTGCACCCTTCCTGCAGTAGACCACATTGGGATCCAGGAAAGGTCATCTAGTTAGGAGGGGCTCAGCTTACTGGGAGCAGCCTCTGTCACTCTGTGTCCATACAAGGGTGGTGGTGGCTGCAGAAGGATCAAGGAGCTGGTTCTGGCCACTTCTCAGTGATTTTCCACCCTGGCGCTATGACCAACATATGGCAATATCACTTAAATAACCTTGTTTAACTTGCTTCCCTTTGCCAACCACGTTCCTCACTGACACCAAGGCTGGGAAATGCCACTCTGATCCTAAGGGAGCTGCACCACTCCCACCAGCAGGGGTGCTGGTCCTCTTCCTATCCATCCCTGGGCTGCCACAAGCCAAATTTCACTCACCCCTTCAAATCCAGATAAATGTCAAATCTTCCACAAAGCCTTCTCTAACTTCCCAGTTGCAATGAAACACTCTGACCTCTAAACATCTATGGGATTTTCTTTGTTCCCTTTTCCTAGTATTCACTGATCTTCACCTTGTATTATAGCAGTACGTATAAAATCTTATCATTTCTTCATTGCAAAGACCACATCTGGTTTATATTCACATTCCTCAGTCCCCTTGGACTCGGTCAATAAATATCAATTACTTAAATGAAGTAACAAAGTCACAGTGAACTACCAGTAGAGGGAGCCCATGACCTGTCAAGTCCACAGCAGCAGGTAAAGCACTGAAGGTGGAGTTGGGAGGACAAGCCTGTTTCCTCACTGAGCATCAAGTAATACAGGCGCCAGACAGGAAAGATGAGACAGAAATGTGTGGGAGTAAAAGCACTTTGTAAGTGGGTTTTATTGTTACTACAAGGAACATTCTTCCAGAAATAAACATGAAGACATTGTCATATTCACTCCTCTGGTCAAGTGATTCATAAAGTAATTTCTTTTTAAAGTATCAAGTCAATGAAGAAAAACTAGTGTCAACTAGTGTAAGAAAGAAAACTGGCTTGAGATCTTGGACAAAGCTTAATAACTCCCCTGACCCATAAGCAGAAATGAGTGTGGTTGTAAGAACTGGTTGAAATGTAGATGTGGTACTCTGCATAATCCCTGGCACATCTGTGAGAGAACTCAGTGAGTGGAAGCTACTATTAGCCAAACTATGTGACCAACACCATCCCATATTTTAGTTAACAGTCTAGGAAAACTTGTACACAAAACCCCAACTTTCTAGGCCCTGGTTTTTTCAAAAACATGAGTTTAACTAAATGACCCACAGGCCTTCTCACTGGTAAGCTTCAATGATTCTAAGACCCATTTGAGCTACACACATTAAGAACCTTCTGGAAAGTGTAAAAAGGTCTATCATACCTTCAAAGTGCTGCACAGAGTTCTGAACGGCTCTAGCTACACTGTAAGGGTGTAGCAAGAAAACAGACAGGCCAGATGGTAAGGGCCTGTTCTGAGGTGGAGGGGACTCACTCAAAGATTTTAAGCAGTTGAATAATAACGCAGAATTGCATTTTCGACAGACTAAAACTATGCACCTGCTAGAATTCTGTCTTTAAGTTCTGTGAATCAACAAGTCAACAAATGACGTCATGACTAAATTCCACTCTCCCGGAGGAGAATCCCATCCTTATAGATGGATTTGGGTTCTTGCTTCTTTTTTTCCCTTTCAGAGGTTCATTTTGGAGCC